AACTATTAATGTTTATCAATAATGTAATGTATGTAAATAAAATATAGTTTCGCTTCAATACATTGCAAGTAGAACCGACATATAAGAAGCTGAAGCCTTGACAATCTGAAACAGTATTATTTGATTATTACACGAACATTAATGTAGAAATTAATTATATTAATACATAACAATTTGAATATAGCAGCAAATATTATTTTTTATTTAAAACAAATATATAAACATATAAATATCGAATAAAAAATATACAGTATATATTATAATAATTAATTGACAGTAATATTTTATTATATTTTACGAAGACATAACACATTTTGTATTTTTTATTGATTTTAGACAATTATTCGCTAAACAATCTTCAGCATAAAACTCGTAAAATGTTTTATGTACAAAACAAATCTGAGATAGACTTACACTGCTAAATTGTTCCAGAGACAAATTCATTATCTTTCCAATTGTAATCGTTAATTGATTTTGCGACCTCATTATTAAGAGTAATATAATTCGACTGTCTTTGGAATTTGTTTCGTACCAGAGGGAATTGTACGCAGCATCTCCAATACTTTTACTCTATTAAATAAGGGATCTTGTAGCTTTTAGGAACAATTATGTAATATTCTGTTTATTTATCAATATTAGTCCCAATGTCTAACCTTAGCGCTCAAGTATTCTCCAGCAAGACAAAATACGAATGTCTGCATATTCATAACCAAGTAAAATGAGAAAGACTTGATTATACTTTCAGACCCATCGGATCGACCAATCGACTAGAATTTTAAGAAATATTATAAAAACAAGAAAAAAGTGATAAAATAATAAAAAAAATAAAGGCACGGATTAATACTCTTCTACTCTGCAGATACAACCTGATTTCTATAGTGTATATTTCTCTTAACCGCAAAATTAATCAAAACCGCTTACCGTGACAATTGTAAAACCCAAGAAGCACATAATCAAAGTATCCGATATGAACATCAACAAAGCGACATACAAAAATAAATTTTCAATATGTTCTGAAAAGATGATAATTTTTTTGTGTTTTTGGATTATTTCTTTTATCATAGAACAACTCGGGCTGAGCTTCCTTTCCTCTGAAAAAATTTCCATCAAACTGTTACAAAGAATATCTATTTGACCGCTTATATGCAATATCTAAAATATACGTTTCTCTCAACCGCTGTACTTAATAAAAGTCGCAAGTAAAAATATTAAATGCCTATAGGTTAAATTTATGCTGCATAAAATCTTTTAAAATCTGAAAAACAGCACAACTGCTAATAAACTATTTTTGATAATGTAGGCAATACGTACATGCACACTCTGTCAATCAATTTATATTATGATCAATAAAATATTAAAAAAGTAAATTTTATAAGTAATACAAATTATAATAGATAATACTAATAATATTAATAATAAAATATAATAATTATATAATATATAATAATTATATTAATTAATAATAACATTTTACGCAATAGGACTTACCAGAGTTATGAGTAGAGGATTTATTAAACCCATTGCGTCGGAACACAGCAGTAAATGAAGAAACTGAATAATTATGATCGATTCATATACGACTCTTCGATTAGCGTCAAATGGCAAATCCATATCTAGAAGCAATCGTGTGGAAACGTTGGAGATTATGCCATTATCGACGTGTTTTACGAGAATGCCGCTGCTAAAAATAATTACAGATGTCGAATAAAGAATCACCGTTATGTTAGTGAAACGCTTCGACAGTTTGACATTGCACTTCGTCACAAACATACTGAATTTCGTGCTGAAACACTTTTCCCAGTCAATAGCCATTATCGTTAATATCTCGTTGAACGTCCTACAAATGATTTTCTTTAGTCATAATCGTGATAATGGCGGCAACGAAGCGTAATGCGAACCATCGGTGAAAAATTTATTGCTGTGCAATAAAAACTTTATCCATGCGAGTCCGCTTATTTCCTCTTTGCGTACAATAATAAATTTATTACATCAGCAATTTGTCATTATTTTAATTTTAATACATTATTCACGTGGACAATTGTCAAATAATTTATATTATCAACTAAAGTAATTGTTGATTCAAAATGTAACACTAAATATATCTAACTAACTTAGTGCTGTTAAATAATAATAATTAAATATAAATAAATTAAATATTCATTTGTGCGTTATTTTCTTTAAAAATTCAAGCAACGGCAGATATCATGTGAATATACATGGGGCATTGAACCATGTTCGACGACCGTAAGAAAAGTTTTGTATTTGCGTGCAGAGGGGAAAATATTTTAAGGAAGAGAAAAGATAGCAGAGGGAAAAATTTCTCTTTCCGAAATATTATTTTCTTAATATCGAGAGATTTTCTCACAGTAAGTGCGGAGAGTGTGCGCGCGTTCGAAACTTATTCTTTTGAAATATAGTCGCTCAATTTTGTATGAAACTCTGTTGCACGTCAGATGCAGTTGCGCGCAATAATCGTTAAGTAAGCTAGAAGCAGAAACGCGAAAATAAAGTGCTGAGTAAAATATATTCTAGTACCAATGGCATTACTCGAAAACAAAACAAGTATATAATATGCGTATTATAAAATATTGTCTACTGTAATATCTATTTTGTGTTACTTTATCAAGCCTGAACTTCTCTCTCGTAAAACTGGATAAATAAAATCAAATTTATACAATTAATAAAGAAAAAACACACGCGAGTGTCAGATGCGAAGTTGTGCACAACAGCCATGCTAAGTAATTCAAGACTTGAAGATGAGGGCTGGAAGTGCCAAGAGAAAGCGAAATTGCGAAAGTTTGTTCTACAATGCCTTTTCGCCGTAGATGAACAAACTAAAAACACTAGGAAAGAAACACTCGGGTTGACTTTGTCTTATTAATATAGTATCGTGAAGAATATCCGTCGAAACGAGAAAAACTTTCGTCACGTACTTTTTGGTCTCATTTTAAGGACTGTAATATCCCTTTTTTGCGCAACTCGTAAAAGGAAGCTACTTAGCTAAAGTAGTAGTAATATTTAGAAAAAACTTTGTATATTTATTTTCTTGCTATATACTAAATTCTACTTTTCACTCAGTTTTGCGTCATGTTACAGCCGTTATACATTATTCTCTTCAGTACATTGCCAATATAATGCCACGCTAATTTTTGTATTTAAATTATTTCAATAATTAATAAATAGGAATAATGAATTTTGTTTCAAACTGTATGTTATTACTATAACAACATAGCAAAGTCTTGTTTTAATATTAATTAATATCTTAAAAAATAATTATTAGAATAAAGTCTGTTATAAATATTCGATTTCACATTAAACACAAGACAGACAAATGCCAGAAAAATATCATAAGTTATATCTTATGCTAAATCGCTTCAAAGAAAGGTCGACGATTTTCCCGCTTGTGATTGTCAATCTTTTCTGCGATCTCAGAATCAAGAATAGTACAGTCCGACTTTCTTTGGCTGGAAAATCGTACCAGAGAGAATCGTATGCCGCACTTCCAATCATTTTGCTCTGAAAAGTGAAAAAATACGATATCCGCGAATTAATGAAGCTGCCATTGTTATCTCGACGCTAACCTTAGCGCTCAGATATTCACCGCGGAGAAACAGCATATGAATGGATGCCTCGACGTTCATCAAAATGTAGAATAACACGCACTTTATTAAAATCGCTGCAGCATTGAGTGTGTCGAGCGACTGAATAAATTTCCATGTACGCAAACAGTAACTTAGTATGAGTTATTTGCATATTATACCTCCAGACATCTCTTCAGTGTTAATAATTATCAACAGTTTTTCGACCCGATATGCAATATTTGTGTCTATTAGTAACGTCATCTTGGACTTGTTACTTACAGTGACAATAAAAAATCCTAAACAACATATGATGATCGTGTCTGATAAAAGCATCATTAGTGCGATGTACGGTGTAAAGAGTTTCGATATTTTCCGCAAATACAATAATACGCTGGTGCTTAATAATCAACGTATTGTAAATTGTAACTTCGTTCGTCAAATCCGCCGGATATTTTGAAAAGATATTTGTTAACCATTCTCGGCTTTAAAATGTCTCGAGACTATTTGCGTCAGCGGCGAGTACACCGGTGCTGTATAAAAATACGGCGACCATTTGCATGCCGATGATTCACCTCGAAGTACGGCGTGCAAGAATCGCCGTATCCGTCATTACGCGCGAGTTACAGCGATCCGAGGTATAATCCTGCCAGTCCGCGGACATCATTTGTAATAGATCGAAATATATTCTATGCAAGATCATGTGCACGTTCGCGTTAATATCCTGTTTCACTCTCGTCTATCATGAAATCAGACTAATTCTGAACTCGACTAATATTTCATTAAAGTATCAGAAATAAAACAGGCAACTTATAATAGGTACACAATCGTGCGTGTAAGAAAAGAAATGTACAAAAGAATCGTGTACAAAAAAAAGAAGAACAAACTGCAGCTATAATTTTAGAAATAACGAATACACATGAACAATATATGTATAGGGTGGATCCCCTTCTTTCTGTTTTTTTCGTGAACTTTTGTTCACGATACAACTGTATGCCCTCGTAAAAAATGCAACATGCAAAGGAAAGGTGGAGCGCTGCTTGTCGTGAGGTAAAAAGTTTCGTTACTCTGCAAGGGAATATAATTTGGGATTCCCCTGTGCTCTGGACGATCAGGAGAGAGGAAAACTAAGACGTATCGCAAGAGTTCGTTGCGATAGAAAAACCAGTGTAAAGATCACAGTTGTAGCCTGCCAACTGTGCTTGCCAGAAAGCTCGGGCAGTTCAACGACGACGGGTGCAGGATTACAGAACGACGATATAAGCAAAGGAAAATTCAGTCAGCGGAAAATTGTTCCTTGTAACCGAAGCGAATACTCCATAATACTATATCACTCTATTTGTGTTTATTATTTTTACACTGCATTTTTAACATCTTAAGTTTTATTTCATATAATTTCGTTTAGTTATCTTAAAAATCTTCCAAATTAATTTTTGATTTTAATATAAAAACGCTAGTATTAGATGATTAAATTAATCTCTCTCAATGGGGAATACGTTTATTCTGGTCATCATTTCGTTGTCCGACTCGGTAAAATACATCAATCTAAAATATCAACAATGTATTTATAGTTCTGTCCTTGTGAACTACAGGCTAAATAAAGCCATCGCGAACAGGTACCTCGGTAAATCGATGCTCCGTTACCCCTGTTTGTCTACACGCGTATACACTTGATGTGAAACTCCGCCTCTTTGAATAGAAAAATTGTTAACCGTGTAAACGACTGACGGTGATAAAAGTACTATATCCTTCTGCACGCGAAGATATAAGCGGCGTGCAGTTTAAGGCTTCAATACATTGCGTGTAACACCGACACATATGACGCCGAAGCTTTCACGATCTGCAACGTGATAGAAGCAATTACTGCCATCGTACGCGAACATCGTGCCACGACGAAACGACTACAGAACGTTGCTCGGCTGTCGAAACATCATTCACGTTAACAGCCTACCTACAGATATAGCTTTTCTAACGTTACTTTCATTACATATCTCTAATTTCCTTACGCCAGCGAATTGCTTGAGGGAAAGATCCACGACCTTTCCGACCGTGAGCGTCAAGTGCTTCTGCGATCTTATGATGATGAGCAGGACGTCTCGATTTTGATTTGGGTTCAGTTCGTACCAAAGCGATTCGTACGCCGCGTCGCCGATCTTTTGACTCTGAAATGTGCAATAAATCTTAGCATATGTTGTATCGCAAAATGCTTTGCGTGATATACTGACTTTCGTACTGAGATACTCTCCGAGGAAGCAAAATATAAATGCCTCCATGCTCATAACAATGTAAAAGAACACGGACTTTATTAGCATAGACGATCCGCCCGGAACACCGATGGACTAAAAATTTCAAATATCTCATATTTCAAACGAGTTATGTTATTTCACGTGTTACTTACGATCACGATAAGAAATCCTAGACAACAAATAACCAGAGTGTTTGATACGAATTGTATTAGCGCGATATTTGAGAAAAAGTCTTCGATATTTTTCGAAAGAGAAATAATCTTTTGATGACGAATAATCAATATTTTCACGATGCTCTCGTTCACACCTCGCTTAATATCTTTTCGCGTGATTTCACTCAATTTTTGTCGCACGATGTCAATCTGTCCGCACACGTGAAGAACCTAAACGTCACGATATGCATTCATAATCAGTTTAAAGTGAAAACGGAAACGTGTTTTCATTGTTTATTCAAAAAATAAAATTGTAGCACAATTTTATTTTTTGAATAAAAGACAATGCAAATTATTATTAATATATTTATTATATTTGCTATTTCTTAAATGGATTAAAGTCTATAAATTCTTTTTCTCTGCATGTTCTGCATCGTAATTATTTTCTTTTGCGAGTTTCAGAAACACCGACAAATTAAGGGAAGACAGTCAAAACTTACCAGTGTTATCAGCAAAGAATTCATCACGCCTACCAAACTGGCTCCACTTGTCTGATGAACAAATTGTATAATAAGGACAACTATGTGTACCGCTGTGCTCTTGATCTCGAAAGGCAATTCCATCTTAAGGATAAGCTCTCGAGTGTCAGTCTGATTGTTACTTTTGTACCTCAGCAATGTACCGGTTGCGTAAAGGAACACCGAGAGCGCATACAAGGTAATTATAAAGTTGGAGAATCGACGAGCAATGTACGCCATCCTAGTCATCATGTACTCGTCACAAACATCGCACTCCTTCCGATCCTCAATTACGCGCTCTATGATTACATTCAGCAGACTACAACGGATTTATAGAAATATTAACTTCGCGAGATGTTATTGAGTTGTTATGATTTAATAGCAAAAATTATATAAATTAAAGAGTCTTTCTTTTAATTTATTACGACCTGGAATCTAAAACAAACCCGAGACATATTTACTTTGCGAATCGTATTTATAATTTCGTACCGCAACAAAGAACCTTAGTAGCAAGCTTACCGAGCATTAAACGCAAAAATAATCAATTTGATGAGCAGAAGACTGTAAGCCAAAGTTGCGCTTAATACGTCCATGAGGAGCAAAAGATCCTCTTCGCGGAAATGCATGATCAAGTGTTGATATTGAAAGGTCTGGAACATTATCACCGAAGATATACAGAACACTCGGCGCAAAATTGCATACGACGTGCCCGGCCATACGCCGATCGCGCGAAGTCCGAACTCGATAGGGTGACACACGGTATTCACCGTTTCTATGCCGTTATTCATTGAGCCCCGATTAAATCAGTCTCACTGCACGATAGCATCAATGTGATTTAACATTAATACTTTAAGTTTAATACTGTGCTCGACTTTCTTCTCCGTCTACGTTACAGAAAGATTGTAATCCCAACAAACGATATCAGTTTGCTAACACAAGATTAATATAAATGATCAGTATAGGTACAGCGCACTCAGCTTAAGTAGCATCGAAATTCTAACACGATTGCTTTAACGTTATATTTTATATCGTCGTCGGTTAGAAAATGGGCGCTAAAATTTCTGACAGCATAATCGATAATTTAACTCAGCCACGGTTAACAGTCATCAGTGGATATGTGGTTGATCAGAGAGGCCTCAGTGAGACTGTAAAATTCTATGAGTTCAGTACTCGAGTAAACCCCACCTTACAGTTGCGATCAATAGAAATTACTTATCCATCGTATTTCCATCATATCTTTTCATATTCTCTTGTCTTAGAAATTGCGAATAAATAATCAGACATTTCGATGATTATACCACAGTTGCAAAAAAAAAAGAACAGGCAGAGATAGTCACGGAGAACTTCTACACCCTCGTGTACGGTCTCTGTCCGTTATTTGCATTAAAAATGCAAAGCAAACGTTCGTCAGCGTATGTCGATGCTAACAAATTTCAGTCTTGTGCAGCTCAACGCCGTAATTCAGTACAATCGGGGTATGAACAGGAGATATCATAAATGTGAGGGCTGATTTTAACTGAGCTCTCGTTCTGCTCGAAGAGGAAGTGGATACTAGGATAAATCCCGGTATGCCATAAAATAATTTCAATAACGCTAAAATAAATTTTTACTTATTTATGATAAAAAATATATAGAAAATGTAATAAAACTGCAATTAATATACATATATGTATATCAATATAATAAT